TTGCTTAACTAAAAAAAATTATCTCTTCTCTTTCCCTTTTCTTCCTCTTAATCGCCGTTATCATTTTCCTAGCCGCAAACGGGACAATATAACTCTTGTTCTACACGTGGTTTTCGTCAGGTATTTTTTATCGCCAATTATCAGAATGGGTGGTCTTCTTAACATGGCCTCAAAAAGAAACATCTCCAAAGTTTCAATCAGTCTGTCGCTTCGAAGAAAGAAAAAAACACTTCTGGGTCCCCATTCATTTTCTTTCGGTACATATTTCTGATAACATAATTTTATTATCGTAGGCCAAAGATGTTATGCGGCAAGAAAATCGGTCAGTGTAGTTACTTCGTGTGTGCTTTTGATTAAATTTTCCATATCTACCCAACGCCCTGTAGTTACACCTGTGTTTTGTCAATTATCAAAATTAACGTTTTCAATTGGACTTTTCTTTGGCGAAAATTTCTTGATAACATAATTTTATTATCGCAGGCATAAAGATGTTCTGCGGCAAGAAAATCGGTCAGTGTAGTTACTTCGCGTGTGTCGCGATTAATTTCTCCAAATCTATTCAAAGTCTCTGTTTTTCGTCACTTATCGAAATAACATTTCCACTTGAATTTTTCTTTGTCCAGTCGACCAGCAGTTTGTTTACGTACTCCTAGATAACACAGCCGTTATCAAAACACATCTGATTCTTTCTTTCTTTCCCTTTCTTTTTACTCAGAATTTCCCTGTCATTGTAATGACACCTTTTCGCCATTTGTTACTTATCAATATATTCATTGTCTCTTAGACATGTGTGTGTTCTGCTTATCACAGACGATTCGTCTCGCCTTTCTTTCTGCCTTCTTTTCTTTCTTTTCCATTTCTGCCTCGTAAATGGTGCCACAAGGTGACGGGAATTTCAACCTGAACCCTTTATTTCATCAGCCGGGGTAGATTGTTCGGTGGACGAAATAAAGTTTCGGTTCGAAATTCCAATCTCGTGGAAAAGGCCGGAGCCTACAACGGCCGCAACGTTGGCAATATGACAATGAACACGAGGACAACACTCCAAATTATGCAAATAATGTAAATTAACATAATACCTCATCTAGACATATATATTATGTTTATACTTTATTCTTATAGTTATAATTCATTTAAGCAAATGATACGTTTTTTTTAATTAAACAGAAATAATTACAGTTACAGTATTAAATGTCCGATATATTTTGTAGAAAATATGCGCTCTCCAATATTAATGGAATCTGTAACTCTTATGTGACCCGTCATATAGCCTGACGTGCCATCACCATTCAGCCATTAATTTCTCCAAATCTATTCAAAGTCTCTGTTTTTCGTCACTTATCGAAATAACATTTCCACTTGAATTTTTCTTTGTCCAGTCGACCAGCAGTTTGTTTACGTACTCCTAGATAACACAGCCGTTATCAAAACACATCTGATTCTTTCTTTCTTTCCCTTTCTTTTTACTCAGAATTTCCCTGTCATTGTTTGTTTCGCCATTCAGCCACAGAGAAGCGCCTGGTTAGTAAACACACACAATAACGGCGAGTTTTCTACCCACAAAACATATCTTGCGGTAAACAATGACATCATATTATGAAATGAATATGAATTATATATATATATATATATATATATATATATATATTGATGTGTGTGTGTGTGTGTGTGTGTGTGTGTGTGTGTGTGTGTGTGTCCGGCAGATTATATTACTTAATCGTAATTTTTTAATGGATAATCTTATTTAAGTTTATTTATTTTCTTTTGCCGGTCTGAGTATTTGAGGGAAAGTTGCGCTCTTCGGCATGATTCGAAACTGCATTGCCATATGAAGAATAATTTTCGTTCCGCTCTCAATGTCTACGGTTATGGCAGCATCTGCATTATATGATGCCATGTCTTCAACTGCAGTGTCAGCTGTAACAAGGAAATAGTGATGATTATTTTCTGCATATAAATAATGGTAACGGTACTCCCCAGATATTCTGGCAGAAATGATTGATTTCTTTCTTAATGTATGGTTTCAGAAATGTGCTGTGTAATTATTGTTCTGAAATATGCGGTGTAATTCTCCCCTAGATCTTCCTTAAATTTAATTAAATTGTTGTTTAAACAGCAAGAGTTTCGGAAGAAAAAACTGTCGGCAGCAAAAATACATTCATGCAGAAGGATGCTGTAAATTCCATGGTGGAGCAAGTAAGCAACTATTACGTTTTAAGAACAATGGAATGAAATAGGTCATTTAGGTACAGTGAAGAAATGGAGAGCGGCTCGGATTGAGGAATCGGAGAGCCGAGTTCGAAGTCCATCGAATCTATTCATTTACGGGTCAATACCCTTAGGAAAAGTATAAATCATCTTCTTCTAAATAGCAGGGCAAACATGGTTACATTATGTATACATATGTGTCCCTTATGCTAATACTCTTGGGAAATGTATGTAACATCTTCTCTCACCAGCTATGTGTAAATAGAAAGATAGACCCAGGTTCTATAGCCTTAGATTACAACTGGTCTATCGCAGAAAGCAACGGCAACTTACAGTGTGAAAAACTCTGGCTCGTCAATAATGTATCGAAAGATAAATGATTGCCTAAGCGTGTATCATGCATGGCACTTAACTGTCTGATACTCAGAATCAGAAAGATGTCTAATCCTTTGCTGAGAAAATGAGGAACTAGGGCATCGAAAATATGTCATGTACAAGATATAGAAAAAACATATCTATCACGGTCCTACACCGAGGTCGGAATGTCATTATGGTACGATTTTGTTCCGTGATATAGTTGGTCAATGCTTTTTGGCGACCAACCCTTAGTTTTTGCGGTGAAGAACACTCTGTTATTTTTCTTACCATGTTTGAGAATTTCGCGAAGAAATGTTCCATAAAGTCCCAGTTCAATTCGCTATTTTCGATTATGTTTTTTCGATTCTCTATTTTCGAGATTTCAAGTTCCAAGACACCTAATAAATCAAATGTAACGAAGATTGAATTTATTAAGTAGGCAATGAATATTATCTCAAAAATATGTTAACCTATTTAATGTCATTCCATTGATTCTGCTTATTTAACTAATATTTCACTTTCCTTTAATATTATCTGTTAAATGAAAACGACGTCAATGATTATATCACGCGTAATTAGTGATGGTCGGATGAGAGTCCAAATTTCTATAATGACCTTTTTTAATTTCCTCATAATTTAGACATTTGTCCCAACATTTTAATAATATTTTTATTTAATTAAAATTCTCTTTTATTACAGATAAAAAATTGATATTTTCAATTATGTTAAATCTGAATAAACAGCCTGTGTAAATAATATGTACATATATATATATATATATATATATATATATATATATATATATATATATATATGGATATAAGTATAAATGTATGTATATATATATGCATATATGTGTTATATATATATATATATATATGTATATATACATATGTATATATTCATATATATTACCAGTGTTTCTAAATTTTGGCTGTTTTCTTTCAATCTTAGATACATATACGTTTCCTTTTCCTCATATATATATATATATATATATATATATATATATATATATATATATATATAATGAACGCGCACATACACAAAAAACACACACTGATATATAGGTGAGCGAGTGTGCCGAATGGAATGCTTTCATATAATATTCCCGTGATATATGTGGACCATGAATACTGGAAATTGGAAGAACGTTAATATCTACGACATGCACATGATTCAAGATGGCCGCACATTCCAACCTCCGAAACTTTGTGGTCATAACACCAAAGAGTGCATTTAGCAAGTAAATATTATAATTTTAATTGTTATTTTTATGTCTGACAAAATTATTTTCATATGGAATTGCAATTTGCTGTCATGTCTCTATGTTTTTCTGTAAAGACGGTTTTTAAATGTTTTGTTTTTCTTTTTGTATTTCAGTGACTGAAGACAACACAGACATCATCGGTACTTTCATTTGCCATGTTTATTTTTCATCGTCATAGAAAGTATCTTGCTATAATTATAACCTAACATTACCCTCCTTTTTGCCTAATTCATTGACACTCTTAAATTAATCTTTTCTTTTTTTTTATTTATTTAATCCCAGCATTGCGAAACGTTCATCCATTGCGTATGCAGTTAAAATATCTTGAGCGCATGAAAGAAGACCTTTAACCTTTAAAAAAAAAAAAAAAAAAAAAAAACCAGCGCAAGCGAATGCTTCTTCATGTATTTCCTTTTCCGCCTTCCGATATACCAGAATTTTTAATCAGCTGATTTCTTCAGCAATGATTTCTTGTTATAGATACACAATTATTGGAAGCTAATTTCTGCTGATAAAATCGTTACACACGCACATACACAAAAACCACACACACACACCTACACACACACACATATATATATATATATATATATATATATATATATATATATATATATATATATTATGGTCCTCATGGTTTGAGGTGTTTTTTAACTATTCTATTCATTAACAGTTGAATATTTGTTTTGTAGCCTGGCCGCTAGAGTTGTTGATATATGAGATATTTATTTGAATTTTGTGAAGTAATAAATCCACAAAATTTTCTTGTTATATGTATTTATCTGTTAAAGGGAAATGCACTTAGTATAATCCAGTTAATAGAGTAAAAATGTCTGAGTAGTTTTCCACAGAATTAAAGACTAATTATTACTGCGGATCTGATGTTGTAAATATGTTATAGAGGGTTCAGCTTATATTTGATATCATAAAAAACAATTTATACAAAGAATTAAATAGCAATGTTAATGTGATCAATGGCGAAATCACTTAACTACCATCTTTGAATATACATGTAATTCGTCTCAATATTTGCCTATATATGTAAGAAGCACCCTGAAAATGACAATTAGAATTTGTCATAAGTACTTGGCATGTGCGGTCCATCTGACAACTCGTATATAAGGATCTTATTATACAAGGAATTGTTAGTAAATTAATGTCTCATTAAATCCTGTTAGCGAAGTGATTTCACCATTAATCACATTAAGATTTTATTTAATTCTTTGTATATGTTGATTGTTTGTGATATAAAATATTAGCTGCACACTCTTATATATATATATATATATATATATATATATATATATATATATATATATATATATATTAATAAATGAAAGTGCAATAAAAAAATTGCCAGATATTTCGGATTATTATAATCAGACTTGTTTGTTATATATATATATATATATATATATATAGTGTTGTTCGATAAAAGTGACTCACCTGAATTTTTTTACTAAAAATATTTTTTGTCTATTGTTTTTGGGGTTAAAATAATTTTTAATCTTACTAATATAAAGGCCGCATCCAGACCACCTTGGAAAAAACTTTATTCACCCTAAGATATTATATTGACTATTAAAAAATTAGATATAAATGAGATTCACGAAAGAACTCTCTGCAAAAATCTCACTGAGATATCGCATTCTAATGATTAAAATGGTAAATATAAATATCTTTTGAAAAAATATTGAAAACTATTTTACAATACACTCAGAACAATTTTCTAGAGAATTCTAGAACAGCTTAAATTAAATCTAGAGTATTCCAGAATATTCCCAAAAATCTCATACAGTATAAAAACAGCTTGAAATAGCCACTCAAGTCACTAACCAGATGATAGGGTACAAATACGCATCATAACCACTTAAGGCATCTATTATTGCCCTCTCAAAAGCAGGCAAATCTACGAGAGAAATTGCAGAAATTGCTATAACCTCGCAATCAACTGTCTCTCGTGTGCTTAAGGCACATAATGATGCCACTCCTGTTCCAAGAATGGAAACAAGGGGATGAAAGAAAAAGATTGATGATAGAACTGGCAGGGTAATCAAGAGAGAAGTTGCGAAGAATAGGACTATAAATAGCCAAGAAATTGCAGCCAGTCTAAGCGAAGAGCAAAGTGTTAGTCTTGCCTCTTCAACAGTCCGACAGAACAAGGTTACAAATCATGTTAGAACAAGGCTACAAATCTTGTACACGAAGGTTTATGCCGCTAATAAGCAAAACCAACAAAGCCAAGAGACTTGAATGGGCTCACTATTACAAAAATTTCACCGTAGAAGACAGGAAGAATGTTCTCTTCTCCGATGAAACGAAAGTTGAGCTAAATTCAAAGAATAAGGTGAGTCACTTTTATCGAACAGCACTGTATATATATATATATATATTTACCGTTTTACGCAGATAAATGGAATATTTGAGTATTAGAGATCGCATTCATGAAGAAAAGAAATACTTCCATATTAGATTGTTTCACAGTTCTTGCGTGTGTTGGGGGTATATGAGTGCGCGATTTTATGCATGTGTGTATACTTGAAATATGAATGTAGCTGTAACCATAAAAACGTATGAGTCTGTGCGTATCAATGTCTAGGTGATTGTAAATCTACGTGCTGTATGTAAATGATTATTCACGAGATATGCTAATGGGCAAATGAATGTGTTTATATTATTTTCGTGTGACTGCATCATCGAACTTTGCGTGTGCCTATATGTACATATATATGTATATGTGAACAGACATATTTTTGTTATTGACTGAGGTCAGTAATTGTTCAACACGTATATACTTTTAGGCATCACATATCCTATATACGTCTATGAATATTTAAATAAAACGCACACACACACACACACATATATATATATATATATATATATATATACACACACACATACACACACTCATATATATACATAGGAAATATTGTTTTAAGATATGATATGGAACAATGTGCTCAATATCAAAGATAGAGATACGAATCAAGCCGAGAAGCCATAAATTTGCCCGAACTCTGCTGCCTGTGCAGAGAGGAACCGGACGAGGCTCCGCCGAAGGATAGAGCATCGTTCGGGAGGTTGACCAACCCGATCCCGTTTATAAGGGTTGTTGGTCATTTTTTAGCCGAGCCACGGGGCTCATGAAACCCATCTAAACTCGGCCTTGTGAAAATGCAACCCTCGTGGGGGGCTAGAACCATATCAAAGATAGAGCGTATAAATGTTAATTGCTGCAGCGACAGGAAGTTGGGGAGATCCACAATCGCCCAGGTCTCGAAAGGACGCGGCATATAAAATAAACAAGAACCATATGGACACTAAACCCCGGTGTGGAAAATTAACTTGCTCTCCGTTGTTCTACCGCAAGCGCCCCGAATGTTCTGACAGATAACTCGGAGTCTGTGTGAACTCATTCGCAATTATCTCACTGTTTCTTGCAAGTAGGCAATATGTCTATGTGCATTTCATGTTCCACACTGACGAAGAGACGTATTCGCACTTCGAGACTCGCGTATACGCATAAGGGCGCTCTCAAGAGGCAGATATTCATTCTTGCGTACATCTCAACGAATGTAAGCGACGCAATGTGGAAGAGCGTTCGTCGGCTGGTTTAAAGTGGGGAAAAGAGAAGAAAGCAAAAAGAAGCAGGAAATCAATGGTGAAGAGAACGCATCGAACCAGGCAACACTCAATTATCGATATCTAATGTTCTGACAGCCAAAATGATGCCACCCTCTCAAGCTTGACCAATTCTGAAGAGTGGATTATAGAATTTGCCCACGGCGCTAGTTTTTACGTCTATTTCGCTAAAAAGATGGCAAACAGTGAGAGGCGAAAAGAAAGAAATAATAACATTATTTGGACATTAAATAACCGGAACAAATTTCGTTGGACATAAAAAAAAAATATTCTTTTGAAAAAAAATAAAAATAAAAAAGGTTTGACAGAAGAAAAGAACGGATATCATGATAATGTATAAGAAAATATGGAGAAGGTGAGAAATGCAAAAGGCGAGAAAGAAAAGGAGATGTTAAAGGAGACGTTCAAAAAATAAGAAGTTCATAATGATAATGATGATGATGGCGTTGTTGGTGGGACTGGCGGTGGTAAGCTTGAATATGCTGACGAAAAAGAAAGTAAAGAAAAAGAAGATAGCAGGAAAATGAAAATAACTTTATGATGATATTGGTTGTGGTTGTGATGATTTGATGATGAATGTGGTGGTCGTGATTTTGGATTGTGTTGGTTCTGGCGGTGGTGGTGATGATGCTAGTGGTGGAGATTATTTCAATGATGATGGAGTTGGGGATGATGGTGGTGATGATAATTTTGATTATGATGAAGGTGGTGATAATGGTAATGATAAAGGTAATGGCGGTTATGATGATGATAATGGTGGTGGTGGTGGTGGTGGTGGCGACGGCAATGATGATGAATAGTACGAGCGACATTGTGGTGAAAGAGAGAACGAAGACCGATTCGAATATAAAAATGGAAAAAATAAGCGAAGAATCAAAAGAAAAAGGAAAAAAATAATATAAAAGAAAGAACTTAAACAAAATGGCGAATGGAGCAAAAATAAATATTGAAAAAAAAAGAAAACAAAATAATGTAATAGAAAAAAATAAATGAATTAAGTGAGAAACAACAGGTAAAACATTAAAAAGATGTTAGATCTGAAAGATGTCTGGAAAAAACAACAACAGAATAATAGAGAAAAAACAGAATAAAGAATATATTAAGAGTTTGACAAAAACAAACATTTCTAGAAAAGTGAAGATTAGCAAAATGATTTTTTTTTATGAAATGAAAGAAAAGAGAAGACAGATCAACAAGAAAATTTCAGCTTAATGAGTCCAATTTTTGCAAAATGTCCAGAATATAAGGCAAGAGTCGAAATGAAAGTGTTATTAAAAAAAGGGTGTAAAATAAGTTTGTGACACGGAAATATGTTGCAAATTGCAAAGAGTTGAAGTAGAGAGAAATATGATCCTAAAATGTTTAGATATAATAATAATAATAATGATGATAATGATGATGATAATAATGATGATGATAATAATAATTATGATGATGATGATAATAATAATGATAATAATTATGATAATAATGATAATAATGATAATAATAATAGTGATAATAATAATAATAATAATAATAATGATAATCATG